TCTGCTTTGACATGAACTGATATTCATAACCTAAGGAGCGCTAGCTATGAAGAATTTCAGGCCAGTGGCCTATTCAGCAGTCTCATGAAAGACATAAATCTATGGATTGCTGCCTATAAGAAGCTAGCGCCTAATCCAGGCTCCCACGAAGGCGCTGGGGGAACGATAGCTCTTCGAGCCTCTATAAAGTCACTCGAGGCTTCCAGGCCGAAGGATAACACGCTCCTGTGAGCTGGACACAAAGTGTTGAGGTAATGCATACTATTCTAGAAACAGTGTGAACCATGCTTCCTGAAATGTTCCAAAAAAGCATCAAACTCACCCAATAGGGACCAACTCGATGGGGACCGCAGCATGTTGGAAAAGAGCGGAAAAGGCTCGCAAGCTATTCGGTCATATGGTGAAGTTCATGGATCCCGCCGAAACAAACATAAGGGCAAGTGGTAACCAATCCACTTCTGTCAACGGTAACGAACTCGGACGTAGAGGGTTCGCACAGGAGAAAGCGTACAGACTGTCTGCAGGCAGCAGATCCAAGATGTGGGGACACCTAAGGATCCCAAGCTCACAATTGGTTGGAATCCGGGATCGCCCGAAAGCCTGAGTGCAACGTTGCAAACACTGGGGGCGACGGAGGGACCATAGTAGTGATTGATGCCAGACATCACAAAGGGTCCTATGGAGAACACAGATTTGATTGATCATTCACACGGCGTCCATCCAGGTCGCAGTTGAGCTGTTAACTCTGAATTATGTGGGAGTGGTTAGTTTGATGCTGATACCTCGAGGCTGCTGCCCTCTTTTGGGGAAAAAAAAAACAGAAATGAAAAAAAATGCATCTTTTTTCCTTCTTTCAAACGAAGGGCTACGGCCTCGATATCTCATTATTGAGCTGACTTCTCCCAGGTAGTTCACGATAACCTTATGCTGCTCATCTGTTTCAGTAGTTCATGGGTGTACCAACTGAGCTAGGCCGTAAAGTTGCGTAAACCCTAAACCCTCGGGCCTAGCTAAATTGGTACACCCATGAACTGTTGGAATACACACCTGATGGAGCTAGGCCCGCTGTTCTTTTTCCAACTTCCACTGGGGCCGCTAAATTATATACATAACACTGCTAATTTGCAGTACGAACGCTCAAAACCCCCAAAAAACTTGAAAAAAGGACTCAAAATTTAACGATGAGCTTCATGCAAGTAAAAGGCTCTGTTAATTTGAACTAAATGGCAGTTTTATAGTTTTTTAGGGCTTGAAGGGGTCAGCCGCCCAATGTCAACAGCGCATGTGAGAATTGTGTGAAGAAGGGCCACTGCCGAATGGCCTGATAGCTCAGTGGGTGGAGCACCAGTTGCAAATGCACATTGTGGTCTGAGCCTCTGAGGTTGCGGGTTCAAAACTCCGCAGCCTCGTGCATATGGAACCGCTGGGGGTTGACCATCACACAGGCCATTTGCACACTGAGTGTGCGCGCCCAGGGGGGTATAGATGTGCACTAGGGTAATTTGTAGTACCAAGGCTGAACTGGGGATCCACCCATCATGTACACTTCCTGGGTCCCCGGAATGGCTGTGCGGGGCTCCCCTTGGGGTTGCTGGAGGCCATGGGGGGAAACGGCCCAGGGAGGGGGAGGCTCAGTGGGGATGCGTACGGGAGAAGCGAAGGGCTCTTTCTCTTCGTAGCATGAGTGATTCTCCTCCCCACAGCACCTGCGACAGTGGTGCGCTCTGGCTACTGGCTAGTGCCTCGGGTATGCAGGACCCTGAGTTCCAGGGGGCTGTGCCCTGGCGCAGCGTCTTGGTAGCTCCTGTCCGGGTACCGGGTGTGTGTGGTTGACGTTGTGTGCCCTGCCTTCAGTGATCTCTCTGTGTGTGGGTGGGTCCGCTGTACCAGCAGGTGGGCTGCACCCTTTGCGTGAAGCCTCCTGCCGGACCTCCTCCCTGTGCCCTATCCCCGACACCCCACAACCCTTTCAAAGAAACAAAACACAAATTTAAAAAGAAAAGGGCCACTGCCGGACGTATGGATCACGCCAGCATATCTGAGAGAAGGGCGTTCACCATCCTTTCTTGCTCTTTTTTGTTTCCCTCCCCCCCTAATTCCTACCCTTGTTCATGCCTTTCTTTTGAAACCCCACTGTCCCCCAATGGCTGGCCCATTTCACAAACTGTCTTTTATTTTATTATTATTATTATTTTTTTAATTTTAAACAACGGGCCCAATGCCCAAGGCTTGTATTACTCGAGAAATAGAATTTGAGGCCGGGGTCCTCACAGTCTACCCGGAAGAATAGAGTGGACGAGACACACTGGCAGCCTCAGGCAGCTTAGCTTGTGAACAGTCTGGTAAACAGGGGTTCGTTTGTCGGTCCAGCGGCAGCACCGAGCAAGCATGCGTGTATCCCCCTGTTTCCTCAGTGGGTGAGTGACCTCAAGGTCGGGTCATCAAAATTAATAGTGGAGTCTTCCGATTTTGTTCGGGCATGATCTTACGGTAACCCGTTCTGGTTGACAGTCAACTTCCATTGTTGGCCCTCAGGAAGTTGACTGTCAACCAGAACCATAAGACCAACAACTTGGCCATTGGCTCAGTGAAATACGTGGAGTAACTACTAACCAACGGGCTTATAGCTCGGTTGGTACACAGATAAGCTGTTGAAAAGACAACATGAGTTCGAATCGAGATGGGGTGAATTTAAACCCAGATGGGGTGAGTTCGAATCCAGAAGAACGGAATTTCCTGGAAGTACCTAGGGGCACTCAGTTTCACGGGAATATGTAAAGGCTGTCGGCCTTTTCAAAAAAAAAAATAAAAATAAAAAATAAAAAAAATTGGAGTTGCGGTTGCTTGGCGGTTTGAAATTTGCGTGGGATTCTGGAAGCAGCTTTATATCACCTGCTTTTCATTCTGCTTCTGCTGAGCAGACTGTTTGACCACATGAGCTGAACCATCACCACCTGTTGTTCTTTCTTTTATCTTTCCCTCTTTTGTCTGTTATGTACTTTGGCCTTACAGACAATTGTGTTCCATCTTTGATGAACGAGAAAAGGCAAGGCCGGTTATGAGCGAGAGATCTCGATTAATGAAGCAACAGAAGGAATGGAGCTATCCCACACGACCAGGTTCTTCTACTGCACACTGGGTATGAACGACTTCCCTCAATGGCCTCCACCAGCAAATTCTTAGCCTCCAATTACTCTCTCTCTCTCTCTCTCTCTCTCTCTCTCTCTCTCTCTCTCTCTCTCTCTCTCTCTCTCTCTCTCTCTTTCTCTCTCTCTTCCCCAACCAAAAGAAAACTGGCTGGCTTGGAATCCTCTTTCCTTCTTGGCAATACACAGCTGATCAGTCCCTTACGCAAAAGCAGCAAAACCTAAAAAAAACCATTGCCAAACTAAAAAATTCCAACAAAATTCCAAACAATGCTCCCGAAAAAGATCACGATAAAATTCCACAAGAATATATATCGCAATTTAAAGCTGAATCCAGAAAACCAAAGACTACCGAAAAATTGAGCAGCAGAAACCTACCCAGAATTTCAATGGAACCGCTCTCTAAAAATTCGGTCATCTCAAAAAATTAGACACAAAATCGAAAGAAGCGATGAAAAGCACAAACGGAATTCCTAAGTCGAGAGGTCGAAAGAAGTTACCAATAATCTAACCCTAGTTAAAGAACTGGCATACACCACAGTGACCACACATTAGCTCCAATCCCTGTCGTCATTCGCAAATTTAAATCCATCCACCCCTCTTCGCTCAGCCCACTTTCTTTCGAAATAGAAGGCAAGCGCCACTCAGGCTATGAGCGGAAACAAAAAAAGGGACAAAGAGGTTCAAGACCTCTGTGACTCTGTGAGCTATCAGAATTGCCCTTGCAAAATACCAACCAAGCACGGACCTTAAAAAACGCTACAATAGGTCGTCTAAAGCGACGCGCCCTCCAAAGTCCGTCCCACTGTTAGCAGCCCTTTATCTGCAGCAAGCAATCTCAAATCACAATCCAGCGTACGGAAAACCAGGCAAAACAACCGCACTTCCTTCAGGCTGGTCGATAGATAACAAACCTTGATATATATATATCGTCAAATAGAACTGCCCGGTAAACCGTAGGCAGAGAGAGAGAAAAGAGGACAACAAACGAGGGGCTGTGACAAACTGTTTCGTCGGAGTTTCATATATTTCTAAAACAACGTGGCTAACAGGTTAAACATTAAACCACCAGTACCTACAGCAATTTTAGGCCCCCTCTGACTCGAATGAATTTGGCGACTCGAATGAATTTGGCCCCGCGTGGCAGGCCAATTCGTCCACCGCGTTAACGTGGAGCCTGTGGAGGTACTGGTGGTTTAAGAGTTCCATATCTGAAGACCAAATGCACAATCACGCGTCAATCTTGACTACATAAGAACATGGAGGTACTGGTGCTTCAAGAGCTCCATATCTGAAGACCAAATGGCATTGCGCAAATCGCGCGATAATCTTGACTTTATAATATATATAGCGTATCAACACTTCTGAATCAGTGCCACTATGATTAGAGCGCACAAATTCGGGACTTCTGAATCGAAGAAACAAAAATCTAAACGCGCAGTCAACGATGTCATCAGAGAAGGAAGCCCAGGATGGGAACTTACCATTGCACGCAAAGCAGAGAAAAACACCGCCGCCGAAACCATAAAAAAATTTGAGTGTGCCAAGACGACATGCCATTCTCCCTCTCCTCTTTTCTGTCAGTCTTTGCTTTGTGTTAACTTCTCACGTGCTTTAACAATGTCAAACTGCGATCCGAATAAATTGGACCTCATAGTGAGTTCTTTTTCTTCCTCCCCCCCCTCCTCCCCCCTCTCCCCCCCTCTCCTCTCAATGACATAGTGAGGTCTGATCACAGTTGGCTTGCGGCCCTCTCCCATGCCTCTCACCCATCCTCCCTTCTGTCAAGCCCTCCGCTGTGTTGACTTCTCAACGTAGCACTTTTGACTGTCAAATTGTAATAACAGCAGACTGGATTGCGTAGTGACACTTGATCCTTCCTCCTAAGTTCTCTGGATGGAATCGTGTGTTGGCTACAGCATGCACCCAGGACGGATGATGATGTCACCGTACGGCTTTGACTGCTCCACCTTGGCATATTGCGTTGATGCCAGAACTGCAACCACGTCACACAAATAGAGAAGGAGAAAACATTTACCTCACTGATATAAGACACTGTGAGTTCAACTGATTTGACATCAGACGAGATTAACTCATGTTGCATGAACCTGGATTAACCGTTCTGGCATGACATCAGGAGTCAGAAGATAAGATGAGCAATAAGGTAAGCTGAGGCGTGATGCAATGAGCGGCAATGACATGAGAAGGGAGATGGCATGACAACAACATCGCTGAGTGACAGAAGAGAGGAAAACACACACACACACACGCACACACACA